AAGCAGGTTAGACAAATGGTTCAGAATGTTATTTATCCTGGGAATTATCCTGGAGATTCCAAAACTCAGACATTCAGAATTAGTAAAGCCCAAATTACTGAATTCTCTAGGACAATATTTTTTGATTGCCAGAGGGACATGCACTCACCAGAGAGAGGCAGAGAAAGAAAGAGTGAGAGAAAGCACTCTTGATGGCCATGCTCATGCTGAAATCCCTTCTCAATTCCTCCATCTTTTTAGGATTTGGGGCATGCACACACACACATGCTAGGTGTATTTTTCAAACCACTGGGCCTGGGATTCAAACCACAGTTGGCCATGTGGAATTCTGGCTTTAAATACTAGGCTGTGGGACTAGCCCCCTAGGTCAGTCTTGAAGGTTGCACTTTCTTTTACACTGTTTTCAGCCAGAGATTTCCTCTCACCCCATTCACACCTTCTACAACTTATGTACTTGATTGCCTGGTCATTATCAACCCTAAAACATTTGTCAATTTTGGCCACTTTCCTAAAATACATCATTAGGTACTTCCACTGTTGTTGCATGAAGAGTGACATCTTTTGCAAGAGCACCTCCTTCCCAGCAGTACCTGCCAACCAGGCCTGGTAAACCAGATAACTTATCGTGGTGTTTCCTGTTGTTTAAGAATCAAATATCATTTCTACAAATGCTCAATGTCCAGGTGGAAGAATAGCCTTTTGATTGATTCATAGCAATCCATGTGATATGGTGCCATACACACGAATCAGAATGAGGGTTGGGGAACTGTGGGGCCAGGGGTTCCCCCTGTGTCTGTTGGATGCTGAATCAGCAAAGGGATGACAGTTGGCAAGAAGAGGCAGAGGCTCCTAACATGTTGCTGTGGCTCCTGCTGACCTGAGGGGTGGGCAGTTCTTCAGGAGGCAACTGCAATGAGAAGGGTCCTGTGTCTTTTATCAAAATGTGTCTGTTTTTCCCTCCCAGGCATGAGGCATGCTTGCTAGCAGCTTCCTCTCTCTTGACTAGTCATAACCCATCCTGACCAGATGGTGTGGTTGTAGTCCAAGGCACTCACTCAAGTTCTTCCCCAACGCCCATCTCTAGGACTCATTAAGAAGGGAACACCTTGTTTCAACTAATAATAAGCTGAGAAAAGCCAGAGGGAAGCCTGGGGGCAAAGGATCAAGGTAAAGAAAGATCAGAAATTGTTGTCCATCGCCGCCAGGCCTGCAAATATTAGGTCGGAAAAGTCTTGATGTATTTTTCAATGTTTCTCTATACAAAGATGAGTCATGACTTTTCCAATGACCCAGTAAAAGACACAGACCTCACAATAGGCAGAATATGTGTCTAGGCTGTTAACTCTTCCCAAACATCCCTCCATCATTGTCCCCTTTAGCTCATCAGCAGGACTGTTCATTCTTCCTATGAAGAGTCCCTAAAATGTGTCTACTCTCACATTCCACCCCTGCCCCCATTTCAACATGACCACCACCTTGGTTAGATTATTCTTGATCTGTCGTCCCACAGCAGCCCGAGAGTGACACTGAAAAAGACAAATATGAATTTGTCACCTTCCTGCTTAAACCTCTCTTCTTGGCCCCAAATGTGGGCCAGGTGGTGGGACAACAATAATGCAACTGGACCCATGTGAGACACACTGTGTCCTGGGACATCTTCCACCACACTGAGCATGAGTGTGGCTGTGATTGGGGCCAGCGGGGACTGGGGGTGAATTGTAGTGTGGCGATCTGTTGGGATACTTGTCTTTCTCATGGGAAAAGTCCAAAATGATCACTCCTGTCTACCAGTCTGGCCCCTGCTACACTCCAACCTCATCACTAAAATCATGCTACACAGGCTTCTCCCCAATTATCGTAACAAGCCCAACTTTTTCCTGCCTCAGGGCCTTTGTACACATAGTACCTTGTGCTTGAGCTACTCTTCTCCCATTCCTCTGGCCAGCTTATACTCACCTACCTGCATGTGTCAGTTATGACTTTCTCTTCTTGGGTCACTTTAGTGATCACACTCCTCCCCCAGAACTAGGTTAAGGTTCTGCATTTATAGGGGCGACTATTCAATCAACTCCTTTGTCTATAAGATTTCTAAGCTGCAGAGACAATATTTATCTTTTACTGATTATTATATTTCAATCTTCTAACACTATTCCTGGAAATGGAGGTATGAGTAAATGTTAACAAAATAAACAATAACTTTTGTGATCTGCCAACAGAGGAGCATGGTAGACAAAGGAACTTAAGAGACCAAGGTTCAAATCCTGACTGTCATTTGTTAGGTGATCTTGGACAAGTTGATTGACCTAAGCTTTATTTTCCTCATCAGTGAAAAGGGCATAACCATATTTACATGAGGTTGTTAAGATAACAGATAATGTATGCCAAATAGGTTCTTGATGAACTATAGATATTATCACTGACATCATTATTACTGTTGTTGTTAATATCCAATTTGGGGATAATGGGGTGGAAAGTCCTCTGGTGAGGTCACAAGGCTCTTCAGGAGGAAGTGACAGAATACTCACAACCAAAAGGAAACAGATAGTAACATTTTTTATTAAATATTACAGTGGATCAAAAAGTACAAAATATCTCTTGCCTGCTATGTGATTGGGAAACTATTGGCACGTAATACAGTATCAAAAGCAGTAATAAGTACAATTTGGAAAACATACAAAATTGAGTGTTTATAGTTGGCTCAGCATTCTTCTGGTAGTGTTTAAACTAATGCAAAGGTTACTCAATAACCTCTCCATTGGGAAACTATGTAATATCACTGGGCCATGTTGCTATATACAAATAATCACCTTACAGAGCATAGAGGTTACATAGCTGGAATCACCAAAAGTATACAATATTTACAACACAGGAAAGTTTAAAAAAGTATAAACAGCCAAGAGATTATGCTGCTATTTTTCAGACATATTTCAACCATGGGGAGACAAGCAGAATATCAAATACATCAACAGCCAACACTGGAGATTAAGTGCTCAAGATGATCATTGCAATGGTGTGGGTCTCACCAGGGCGAAATCATTCTCATTTCTCTTTAAATTGAGACAAGAGTAAAACCAGACCGATGGGACTTGGCTGACCATCACCAAATATGACTTTGTGAGACAACAAGTGAAGAGAAAGAAATGGTTCTCTTTGAAGGCACACTACATAAAATATTTTTGTGGGACCACCTCGAAATTTCCATCAGACACACCAACACAGTGAAATACAGTACTTGAGAACTCATGCACCAGGTCAGAAAGTTGTAAAGTCAACATTGAGTTTTAGCAAACCCTTTTGTATATGCCCTGATAAACAAGTGAACTTAAGAGCTTCTAGCTAGTAAATAAATAAGTCAGTCCTGTGGCAGATATTACAAGTTCAAATCACTTACTAGGAGAATACTTAATTCTGAAATTCAGGCTTTTATTATTATTATTTTTTTAATGTTGAGTTGCTAAAAGTTGAACCCAAAGTTGTATGGAAAGGTCATTAAAAATATTATTTAGAATCTCCAAATTTCCAATAAATTATGGACTTCAGTGCATTTTGAATTGCAACATTTCTTGGAAGCCACACTCAGTAAATAGATTTATGACTCCATTGCCAATTAGATTCTACAGTTTCCTTTACAGAATGACCAATAACAATGGTTTGATTGCACAAAGAAAGGCTTGTGCAATTCCATTCAATAATAAGGCCCCTTGAACTCAAACAATGCTAACAAAGCCCTATTTAAGACTTTTTAAAACACAGTTCTCAGCCAGTGAAGAATTCAATGGTCTTTTTGAAAGATTTCCAAGATCTCTGTTCGGAGTTTTAAAGCAAATAGCACATTGCCTCTGTTGAGAATATATACCCCAATTCCTCTTTATGTGTCCTGATGTTTTGCCGAGGGTAGGAGCTTCCTCAGACAGAAACAGTGAATCTCCTCTCAGAAGAGAAGACAGAAACAAAAGCTGGACCATGTTAACATTGTTTGAAAATGGTGTGATCAAATTCCAACATGATGAAACCAGACTGCAATCATTTGCAGTGGGGGAGACACATGCCCCATATTCCAAGTGAACTCCCCAGAGACAGACGACCCTCATTTTCTTTGAGAAACGAACTCATAGAAACCACGTATGATCTAGCTCGTGTCTGCTGAAGAACCACCAGGGCTTCCTTTTTCTTCCAAGTCCTCCAATTCTGTGGCCATTCAATCTAGTGCAACTCTCTTACATGTGTCTTCGCTAGCGTTTTGCCAGCTGGATCGAGATCCCCCCCCATCTTGTGCAATAGCAGGATAATCTGCACTCACACATTTATATCCTAAATTCTACTAGTCTATCTACGGTTCTATTAAATATATATATATATATATTATTCCACAGGAAGGTAAATAATTAATTGAAGCAAATGGAACTCTTAACACTGGATCTCTACATTCTTTTGTTTCCACCTTTGGATATTAAGTATGTTACATTGAATATTTGGCTTCATATCATGGAGACATTTTAATATAAATGCACGACATGCATGGCTTTGATTAAGAGCCGCAGTTTCACTGTTATCAAGTTTCGATTATTTTGCATTTGAGTTACCTATTTAGAAGTTGAAAATTGTCACCAATTTTCATAGAATTAAATAGCTCAGAGGTAAAAGACTTGGTTAACTATGGTTCTACAGGCTACTGGTAGTGTTGAGGGGAGGAATGGGGCTGAGGAGTCTTCAGTAAGGGTGGGACCTGGAAGAAAATCCACTCTGTATCCATCGACTTTTTAATACGCTTAGAAAATGTGTCCACCTGGATGTTACATCTCGGTAACAAATACATTAAAGTGGCAAGAATGATAATCGACATTCCCCACATCCTTTGACTGCTTGAACAGCTCGACCATTTATTTCCAACAACAAAAGAAATCACCAAGCAGACTGTATAGCCAAGTGGTTCAAACTGTGACACAAACCACTTTATGTGTGTGCATAGGCACACAACCTTGTAACTTAAAAAGGATGACTTTTTTTTTTTTTTTTTGGAAATGGGTAATCCAGTATGACAATTAGCTAAAAGATGTGGCTTGGGAGATTCTTCTCGGGAATGACAAGAAACCAGTTTGACGAAGGCTATGTGACTACCTCTCACTCAGAAGACTGAGGCCTAGAGAAACCATCTGGTGGTCAGGCCTAAGGCTGTTTCTTCTCCTCTAGGTAGTCGCGCGCCATCCTCCTCCCAACCCCCTTCCCCAGACCATTTCAAAGGATCTGTGCCAACACCCATGTAAATCATTTTGGCTCCTGTTCTAATTTCTGAAATTCCTAAAATATCTGTTCAACCCACAAATATGTCCTCTAGACTCTGTTGTTATTCAGCCACTTGCTGCCAGTGAGGTTTTTTGTTTTTATGATTCCTCTGGTATGTAGGACAGTTTCACAGCCTAGATAAGGTAAGTACAATGCTCAATATTTTCACAGAACCCAATACTTCAAAGCAAAGCACTTGGCCGGGTAAGCAGTGCGTAAGCTCTTTCAACTCTGCCATTTATGAGGAACAAAATCCTTAAGTTGCAGATCAGCAAAGGAACGTTCTCTGCACTGTTGTGTGCTCGACTGTTTCTTTTTCTTTTGTTCCACTAGAATCAGTTGCTTCAATTTGTAAACAATAACTTGACCACCCAAAGCTGCTCAAAATGATAAGATGTGGAAAAAAGTACAAATACATATCAACAGCTAGGACAGTCAGCCTTTGAAACAAAACAGAACAAAACAAAAACAAAACATAAACAAAAGATCTGCAAATAAAAGTGATATTATTTAATTAAAAAAAAAAAGAAAGAAACAAGGAAACAAAAGGAACTGGGAGAAAATGGAACTACCTGTATATAAATTAGGTGAGCAAACAGTGATACGGGTAGTTTGAAGAAGCAAATATATACAGTCAATTTAACAGTGTTTACTTCTCTGGATTGTATAATAGTGTCAAAATGAAAGATCTACTGAAGTTTCACTATACATTGCATTGATTGAACCTTGGAGAGTTTGTTTTATGAAGAGGGCCATGCCTTGGCATAGGTTTGCCAGTCTCCCTTGACCCTGTCTTGAAAATGCCTGCTCCCTCTTTTGCCCAGATTGTTTCCTGACCATCCAAACTCAGGTGGGATCTTCTAAGTTTTTCCTGGATATACATAAATCCCTTCACGAGACCCACACGCCAAGTGAATGATCTGGAGGTGTCAGGCCATCTGCTGGAGGAGGGTCGACTGACCACCCAAAGCTAGAACTGTCCTGGAAAAATCAGTCGGTCACCTCCTCTCTCGGCCCCTATGGCCGGGACTGATTGTACCCCAGATTAGAAGATATACTGACTTCTAACTACAAGCCACATCCCCAGGAGAAGGAGCGAAGCTCTGTTGGCCACGCCATGGTGGGATGCTGGACAGAACTGGCCTTACAGTTTTGTACTCGGGTGTACGGATGACAGTTGGGAAGATGGAAAGGCAGCTTGAGGGTTTATAGCAGCTAAAGGGTAGATGCTGTTGTGCAAAAGGTCCCCATACGAATTTCCTACAGGTGTGGCTGCAGCCAAGTGTCTGTACAGCTGCTGAGAATTTGTCGGTGACGTAAAAATTCCTCTTTGCATCACAAGCGAGTGGAAAGCCAGGGGCTGCATGAGCGGTGAAAGCACAGTCTGGTTTTTCAAGTACTGCAGAGAATGAGAATACCCAGCTGGAAGCCTGGAGTTGAGACTCGAGTTACACAGGCTCCCCGAATACAAACCTGGGAAGATGGGGGAGGAGAGAGGGAGCTTGTGGCCCTCCGATCCGCCCCCGGAATGGCCGCCGTGAGCTGCCTTGCTGCCTTCGCTCTCCTGGTCAGAGGCCTTCTCCTTCCCAGAGACCTCCTTGGATGGGTCCAGGGGAGACACGGCCCGGGCCTTTTTCCCAGCAATCACAAGGTCCAGATCCTCCAGGCTGCGCTTGATCGGACGTGCCGCACCAATGTTCTGAGGGCTCATTTTCCGGTGCAGGATAGGATGAACCATGCCTTCCATCTTCCTGAAATTCTCCAGTCTCACGTGGTGAGGTTTTCCTGACCTGGAAAGTGATTCAGGGTACTTTTTAGGGGCCGTCATGGTCATGGGTGATACCCGGCAGGCTTTGGGGTGACAGTCTCGACCCTGACCGCTGATGACCTGGAACTGGGAGATGCCTTTGCTCTCCTGAGGCCCGGGGGCCGAGTGGGCCAGGCCCAAGACCTTGCCGGTCGGTTTGTGCGGGTTCTTGGGAAGGCTCAGATCCGTGGGCTGGTCGTCCGTAGAGGCTTCTGCTGCAGCCGACTTTTTGTCTTGCAGATGCAGAGATGTGAGATAATTTACATGGAGCTTGTCTTGGTGTTTGTGGGAAGGGAAAGAACTGTTTTCTGACTCCCTGTACAGGTCCCGGGAGGGGTACTTGGATGTCTGTTCGCTGTGAAGGTGGTGCTCGGTGTGTCTGTAGAGGCTATGGAGATGCGGGGACGAGTAGAAGTCTGCCAGGAAGCTAGGCATGTGGGAGTGAGGGAGTGCCCTCTTCTCCAGCAGTTTCTCCTTGCCCTCCTGGATGTCCTGCTTCAGCACGTAGGAGTCAGAGAGTGGGTGAAGGTGATGCTTGGAGAGGCTGCAGCGGTGAGGATCCGACCGACCCAGTTTCTCATGCTTAAAAAGGTCGTTGATACTCTTCCTCTCCTCCGAGGGCTTGCTTTTGAAACTCTGGACATGCTGAATCACCGATGGCCGGCTGACCGCCAGATGGTCAGTACTTTGGCCATGGTGGGCCTGGGACAAACCAGAACACAAGTCATCCCGGGCTATCAGTTTCTTTTTGCTGATCAGAGGGGGTGGGGAACCATAGGGGTAGCTGCTGGAGAGGCTGGCCCCACTCACTTGGGACAAGAGCTTTTTCTTGGCCAGTGGGGACATGATGCCAGGGTTGCCCCTGGAATAGAGCAGGGGCGTGTAATTAAGTCCATGGTTCTCATTCATTGGCCCAGTCAGGTCTTTGTCTTTGAACATGTCAAAGGACTGGACCACAAGGACCTTCGGGGTCTGCTTCAGGGCATTGTGGATGTCATCGCTGCCCAGCTGGTCTACCTTCACAGTGCAGTTGGCAATGTAATCCGCCGTGGGGGGCAGCTTGTCGTCCTCCCCCTCGCTTGGGGTTGCCAGTGGTGGCTGGGTGCTGGGGAAGGTGGGAAAGGGTGCTTCTTGGAGGTCATTTTCAGGGTTCTCCGTGAAACAGCAGGGCTTGGATTCTTGTTTGGAGTCCACCAGGGCATTGGGGGAGGTGAGTGGCTGTTTGCCAGCCCCAGGGATCAGGGCTGGTTCTCTTTCAGGGGCCAGAGGTGCACTGGGGGGCAGAGGCGCAGCCCCCTTCTCCCCAACCTCCTCTTCTGTCTTCTCACTGTTGGAGCCTTGGTCTGCTTCACTGTCGTTTTCTGGGTCCACTCTGGATGTCAGGGGCCTTGCTGCAAAATCCTGGTACCCTTCCGTTTTTTTCTTTGTGTCTGCTGCTGGGAGAGGCTCCTGAATGTTTTTCTGATTTAAAGTCTCTTGTTCCTTCTCTTGCTCTGATGAAACCTGATGAGATATTTCAAAAGACAGTCAGAAGGAAACCAAATAGACTGACACATCTAGCTATAAAATAAAGAATCACATGCAACAGTTTTTCTTGAAGACAGGCTTGTCAATCAGCTCACGAAGTTTCTGTAAAGCTTTATTACTCCCCAATCATGGCTCTAAACAAAGAACTCTAAATTACAGAAACATTAGGGGAAACATGCATGTTCGCTTCAATTCCTTATGAGGCACCTATCAAAATAGCAAAGTGTTACATGCTGATAGGTAATGTTTTTCTGATTTAAAGTCTCTTGTTCCTTCTCTTGCTCTGATGAAACCTGATGAGATATTTCAAAAGACAGTCAGAAGGAAACCAAATAGACTGACACATCTAGCTATAAAATAAAGAATCACATGCAACAGTTTTTCTTGAAGACAGGCTTGTCAATCAGCTCACGAAGTTTCTGTAAAGCTTTATTACTCCCCAATCATGGCTCTAAACAAAGAACTCTAAATTACAGAAACATTAGGGGAAACATGCATGTTCGCTTCAATTCCTTATGAGGCACCTATCAAAATAGCAAAGTGTTACATGCTGATAGTACACAATCATATCACTCCTTGATTCTAATATATAGTTTAATTCCAAGGTTGTCTTCTTGTCACATCAGTCAATTATCCAAATGGGTTTAAAATTACATGTTGTGTTTTATGACACTTTGGAGAAAGATTTTTTTCAAGCATCTCTCTTTCAAAAATCCAACGAACCTCATACCACTAGACAACAAACTTACCCTAACTCCTTGCCTTTCTTTGAGAGAGCAAATGCCTTTCCAATGTGTCCAGTATGGTGCACCGAAAAAATGAGTGATGCTTACGTGTTAATAATTTCTACTCAGTGCCACACGTCACACAGATCATGCAGAAATACTGAAGAAGTGTGCAGATGTAATGGCGTTCTGTATACTGCAGGGACAGAGGCAACTCTGATTCCTCCTAGGCTGCAGCACACTACAATTTTATTAAAACCAAAATGAAGTTGTCAAAATTCAGGCAGTGAGCGCCACCACAAATACAGCTCTTCTGTTCACTGACATAAATTGTAGTCAACGAGATGGATGCTCTTTATGTGTCCCTATTGACAGAAGTTGTGGGCACAATCCAACCCATTCATTGCATTATGTAGCCGTATAAACTTTGACCTAAGAAGGTCATTTTAACTTTCCATCTATGACTCAGCTGACCAACAAGCCCTTTCAAAATTGCTGTCATTCTGCCCTGACATGTGTCAGTAGAACAGTCACAAAATAGTTGTCCTGAGCTGGTCTTTTTCTCTCCTTCCATCTTTTCCCTTGAACTCTATTCTTCATTAAAACAGGCAGTGTCAACCACATCGGTGTTTCTGGATAAGATCAAGGATGTTGGTATAGGAATAGGAATAAAAACTATAATCAATCATACTCATTTTGGATATATTTCTCCTCAAATTCACTTAAAAATATCCCTGCTTTTCAGAGATATGATATGCTTAAGAGAGTCTTTGCTTATCTTTTTTTTTTTTTTTGTACAAATAGCTGCCTTTTCCAGTACAAATATCATTACTTGTTCTACACTAATAATCATCATTGGTCTCTTGAGCTTACACATTACATGACTATACAGAAAAATGAGTTAGGCAAAGAAAAAAGGCAAATGGTATTCAATTGTTTGTTTCTGATGGGGTTACAGTTGAAAGCAAGGCTATGGGGATCCTCAGCTCCCGAGGATATGCCCATGACCTAAGCCTTCAATTACACTGGAGTCCCACACTTCTGGTTTTAAGACAAGTTTCACAGGTCTTTGAAAGCTTGGTAGAGAAAAGTACAGGAGCCTTTTCTTAGGATACATTTTAGGATCTGTTTTACTATGTTAAATACCAGCTCCCTACCATGCCACTTGCAATCCAGTTACTCAAAGACAATGGATTGGACCATCACCCTCCTATCTCCATTGAGTTCATTGCTTCATATATTGAGAATATCAAAACTTAAAACCATGTAAACAGCAATGAGATCAATAAAGCCCAGAACTGAAAACCCCAAACACAATCAGTAAGAAGATCTATACTTGGGCAATATGCTGAGTCTCCATGGAGATGGGAAATGGTTTCTACTATAAGGGCAACTTGGAGAGAGTGGGAGATGGGTGATCCCATGTAGTTTAGACAACATCATCAGGACAAACTGAAATATAAGACACTTAGAGTTCCCTAAAGAGAACAGTTGGGGTTTGTAGAAAAGAGGGAGCCCAGTGGTTTTAAATAAGGGTGTTTGTGGGATCCAAGACATATATAACCATCCTCTCCCAAGCCAATGGGCTCAGTGCATGGGTGGAGGATTCCTCCCACAACTCACAAAACAACCGTTAAAACTTCATCCTCAAAGTAGAGCCATTCGAGGGAACCAGCAGTTAGCATAATGGCTATGTCGCTGGACTCCCACATAGTCAACCGCGGTTCGAGTCCCGGCCCCGGTGGCTTAAAACTCACACCGGGTGTGTGTGCATGCATGCCCAAGATCCCAAGAGGAGAATGGAGGAGAAGGGATTGTGGCATGATCATCCCCTCTGGGGGGTGATTTCTCGCTTTCTGTCTCTATGTCTCTCTCTGTCTGGCGAGCGCATGTGCCCTATAGC